AGTAAGTGCTCAATTAACTTAAATTACATTCGGTCGACGGTTGGACTATACGTACTAGCTGCCACGAATGTAGGAATTCTAAGAGCTGTGTTCAAGATATAAATGTGTAATACCAAATATTTATCACTCTAAATTACATTCGGTTGGCGGAGAAACTATACGTACTCCTATTGCTAATGCAAGGATTTTAAGAGCATATGATGATAGTCACAGGTAGAAATCATATACGAAATCCTACAGATCACATAAAATAATATACATGTATTGTCATCGTGATATCGACTGTCGAACACGACCCCGAAGAACTACAAACCACTTAAAAGAAAACCAGCTACAGTGAGGTAAGTGTTTAAATGTTTGTATAATAAAAGTAGGTAATTCAAATATCATTAGACAGTTAGGTACAACACAGTAGTAGGGCGATCATATGCGGAAATCTCCAATATTTATTATAACACACATATCTCTCCCCTATAACCTTTACCTTCCCCTTCCACCTTATTCTCCCCTTTACAACTAATTTGTCCCCCGCGTATTTTCCCCTTACTACAAATTGCTTTTTTGTGGGATTACTTCACTCGGCCCTTCCACCGCTTAATAATTATTACTATATAGAGACATTACCACCTAGATTTAGGGCCATTGGACCCCTCCCCCTTCTATCATGCCGATCAGTCGTGTATACGTCTTGTACAGTGCCCCATATTACCTATATTGTGTAAATTTTATTACAGATCGTATAATATATATACTTATACTTATACCTACTTACACTTATAATATATAAATCTGCAGTGTTTGTTTGTTCGTTTGTAAGAACATTCTAACCTCAGGAACTACTGGTTCGAATTGAAAAATTTTTTTTTCATTAGAAAGACATTTCGTCGAGGGAGGCTATAGACTGTATAAAATCATGCTACTACAAATTAATAGAAGCCTGGGGTAGTGCCCAAACAGGGGTTTTGATATTTAAGGTGGAAATGTTTGTTTATAATGGTTGCTATTGGTTATAGGAGAAATATTTAATAGAAATAGTATTTATTTATTATTGGTTGCCATTGGTTAATAGAGCAGATCAGGTACAAGCATGCATCAAATCGAATTTTACAGCAAATTGCCTACCAGGTTGCCTGAGTTGCACTTACTGCAGTGAGTTACGCCCTGCTAAAGGAGTTGCACAATCACAATTTTTTAAAGGGTTGTCATTTTTCCACGAAGTGCGCAGGACCAGCTAGTTGTATTATATTCTTGTTCGTTTTAGTAAAACAATTAAAATTTTTTTTTATATATATTATATGGAGACATTCATACTCTGGCAAAAAATATTGAAACTGTGTGTTTATATTTTTATTACATTTTATGCATAGTTTTTAAAACGTTTTGCGTCATTATACTTTTGTTACGCAAAAATGTACCACAATTTCTTTCTAAACACCGTGCAATGTATTCTTAAAAAAAAAACCTTTAATGTTACGACGGTGGTTAGATAACCTCGAGTACGTCATATATTATTATTACAACATTATTATATCGGTTACATAAAAATAAACCACGTCCCCTCGCCGTTATTGCCAACGATGACAATTTGTTTTTTTTTTTTAATTTAAAGAAACGTTCCTCGAAAAGGACGTTTTGGTGAACGCGTTACTACAATATTATTATGTCCAGGAAAATATGAGCTGCTGGAACGAAAACAAACGATTACCAGACACGAAATAAATGTCCGATGAAAGGCGAGTGCTCGCCAAAAAACATTTCGCGTTCTTAATTTCTGATTATGTTTTTAGTCTCACATATACTTGTGCAGCTGTAAGAGCAGTGGCCAATCCAAAGAGATCATAATAATATATAATATGATATAGGACCATTCGGCGTAATGAAAAATCGAGCGAAATCCGGGGCTACAGTCACTAGTCCGGGGGGGGGGGGGTGACTGTATTATGTGCACAGACTAAAACGACTCTTGCGGACGCTTTGAGTTATTAGTTTTTACTCGGTTATTGCGTTGAGCTTGTACACACGACTTGCGACGATGTTAGTAGTCTCGTCATATTTTAAGTGTTCGTTTTTTGTTTTGCAATTATTATTGTGTTTCCGTCCCGCCCAGTTCAAGTCATCGTTTCCAGAGGGTGCCGCCGTGGCGTTAAAAATAATGACATTTGCGCTAAACAAGAACGGAGCGATAAAAAAAGACTTGATCCGATTTAAAAAAAAAAATGCATATTAATTTTGAAAACGATTATTGCTGCAGGGTGGGTCGAGATAAACTTTATTCTTAAAACAATCTCGAGTGTTATGGGTTGTTTAAATGTCGTTGTAATTGTTCGACAACACTATAGCTGGGCTGCTCGGATTTAAATGAGAAACGCTTTATTATTTTTTTTATAAAGTCCCAGCAGGCATTGCCTCTCAAGTACAAAATCCGATTCATACGTCAGATTGAAGACTTAAACTCTTTTCTTGCGTTGTTTTGCATTCTTAGCAGTGTTTGTGTTTTTAGAGCGTTTTTTTAATAATTCATTTTTGGATAATTTTGTTAATTTTTAGCGCATTCCTATACGAGCCATATTATGCATTTTTAGATTAAACTCAATTGGTATTTCAATATAGGTACATATTAGCTCCAGAAATTTCGTTAAGATCATTTATCATTAATTGTCGATTTCGTTCTGTTGATGATTTCGACACATCGATGACATACATTTTATCCATATAGGGAGTATTATAAGTATTATTTTATAAACACTATAATTACTGAAATGTAATACTTAAATTATTAAACGTATTATTTTGGACGAGTTTTTTTAAACGTTCATTTTAAGAAATAGGGCAACAGACACGAGAGCTAATCGCTCGACTTTATGTTGGTGCTTCGCAAAGGTCAGTTTTGGATTTGTAAAAATACGAAATTTAAGGTTTGTAAAACGTAGTTTTGATAAAATCGAAAACCGTGTGGAAAACGGTTGCCATTAAAATGTATTTAATATTTGGACAATAATCTACGAAAGTGTCCATGTGAATAATATTTATATGTGTGGAAAATAAGTTTTTAATAATTTCGTGGTGCTTGGGAAATGACAATAAAGGGGAAACAAGTATGGGCCTTGGAGCTATTGGTAAAAGTTATCGAAATAGGATAACACTCGGTATTTGATAATTTTCTTCTCTAGTTCAGAATGAAGGTTTAGATTATCAATAAATTATTATTGTCTTGTATACTCTTAACTCGACAAAAACCCTTAGTAAACTACGTGTAGAAATGGCTAAATAAAAAAAATATAAGATCTTTAAGCACTACAAAGATGTGATATCATGAATGAAATATGCCAAGTATATTGAATTGAAGTAAACTTATTGTGTTTCAATAATTTATTTAATTGGCGAGGAATTATTTCTTCAAAGTGTGATGAACAAAACAATTAAATGGCGAAGGACTGTTAAAATATCACTTATTATTAGGGCAGTGAAGTTGTTGCATTTGCATATTTTTTATAAATGCTTATATTTATTGCTGAGTGAGCTTAAAATATGTTTCGTTAAACTCCTTATTTAAACAAAAAAAAAATTATATTGCATCAAACGCAATTTTAACTATTTTTCATAATTTTTGTTTACATTTAAGACTATAACTTGATATATAAAATAAGAGTAAGTAAACGTACCAATGAATAATTAATGTCTATATTTGTTGTAATACTTATTATTTTATTAATATTTCTATAGAGCGATTATCGCATTAAGGTCGCTAAGGAAACTTAAAAAAACCATTTGTTGTGCAATGCAATAATGTAAGCAATAATATTCATGTTTAATTATTATTATTATTATTATTATTATTTATTAATATGTTTGATTTTATTGATTATAATTAAATTTTTTCAAATTTATAAGTGCAATTTTTAATATATTTTTCTGCAATAATGCAATCAATTTAGTGAGTTTTTTAATGCAATATAACTTCACTGACCTACTTATTATTATATTAAAAATATTATTATTATTATTTATATACTATTCTAAATAATTCCTCGCCAAGTAAATACCTTATTGAAACACAATGAGTTTACTTAAATTCAATATACTTAGCATTTATTCATGATATATCACATATTTATGGATCTTATATTTTTTTTTTACTTAGCCATTTTTACACGTAGCTTACGAAGGGTTTTTGTCGAGATATCACTAATTTTTATCATCAATGCAAATAATGATAATGTATCTATATTTTTATATTGTATAAAGTAAGGCTTAAAGTATACACAGAAAGAAATACCGCAGTTAAAGTAATAAAAATTGAGGTTAAATCAACAAAATAATGATTAACATAGGGCCAACAGGGAATTTGTTATTATGAAAATTATTATTTTGTTGATATAACAACATTTTGCCCTGTTAATTTAATGCTTGATTCAACAAATTATTCTGTTGTTTTGAAATAATACGCCGTTAACATTATTGTGTTTATTAATGAAATTATTTGTTGAATTAATCTAAACTTTGTAAGAACAAATTGTAGTATTTTTAAATCAACAAGATATTTTTTTATTAAATCATCAATTATATAACCATTGATTTGAAAATTGTGGTTTGTTCATTTTAAAATTATACCTGCATGCATTGATGTAATTATGATTTCTTTTTGGTCCCTATTTATTTTAGGGGGGGGGGGGCAGGTATCATCAATTTATACACTATACCTATAAAAGTTAAAATATAGAAGAAAATTTGAAGACATTCATATACGTATGAAAAAAATAGCATCAATTATATTTGTACCTATACTTAATTACAAAATCAAAATAATTTACCTATATATATTACACTTTCTAAGATGTGGTGTTGTTGTATCTCCTGAACACCCCTTATTTGCTTTGTTAGTATCTTAATTAATATCATATAGGTAACTAACATGAGGTAGGTATTACTGTAATGTAAAAACAAGATATTTTTTAAGAATAAAAATAATTTTATTTCACAAATTAAACATTTTAGTAGTTTTAAAATAATTTAAGTTCATTAATAACTTGATTGACGAGCGGACAAGATTTATCATACTTATTTACAATATTATAAAACAATTTTTGAATAAATAGCCAGACATTAATAGATTCAATGGGATATTCAATATTGAATACATGAAAAATCTTAAAACAAATGTCTAGTGCTTTAATAGGCGAAAAAACTTTGTATTTTATGCCATCGAAAAAAACCAATATTTCAAGTGGTTCACTAACGGTTCCTACAATTATAATACATGGTTGTATAGTATCGCCAACATTATATTTTCGTTTTATCATTTCTTCAACCTCTACTGCTGTTGGTGCTATCATCATGAAACTGTTCTGTGAATCTTGGATAGAAAATTTAACTATGTTTTTCTTCCCTTGACTGTTGGTGAATGACCTTTTACTTGTTGGTAATAAAATTGCATGAAGGAGATACAGAATTATACAACTTTTAGAACCTGAAAAATAGAAAATTTATGAAAATGAATTCTATGAATAAAAACAATATATATTAGTTTAATAAAATATTGGTCAATAATGATAGAACAATGGATCATGATCTGAACTTACTTTCAGTTATTTGACTGTTTTCAACCATATAATTGTACAATTTCTTATTAGCAGGATCTTTTAGCCTTTCATTAATGACTTGAATTAGTTTTAGTTTAGTGTCATCAAACTCTTTTAATATATTTAATGCTTCCTTGTGAAGACACTGAAAATCAATGTCAACCTGTAAAAGTAAGACATATTATGCTAATATTAATTCTAACTTATAATAGCTTGTTAGGATGACTAAAATATTATAGGGATTCAAATTTTAAAATAAAATTAGAAAAAGATACATTTTATTATAAAAATTATTATAGGTATTAAAAACTTAAAAACAGAATCAGTTAGGGTCAACTAGGGTAAAAGTAAATATGTTAAGTACAATCTTAAGTTGTTGATAAAAACACATTCTGGTTAAAATAATACATTGTACATTTATTATTATTTCATGATTGTTGTCAGAATAATATTTTATTTTATGTTATGTACATCGATATTGTTTATCAAAACATATCTTCAATTATTTTGTTTCTCGTTTTGAAGAGTGTATGGCAGATATTAGATGACATCTTCAAAAATGAAAGTATATTCAAAGTTATTAATTTATAATATTTTTTAATAGATTCTGAATAGATTTAGCATGTTTTGAGTACAATATATGGGTCAGTTTTGCTCCAAGTAATTGTTATAGTTGTTAATAAAATAAGGTAGGTAGGTACCTATTTCAATTGTATAAAGTAACCATTACTAAGTTGTAAGACCAATGGGTGAGTATTAGTTTCACCTGAGGCATATTAACAAAAAATGGAATTTTGTCTTGTAGCTAGGTCTAGAATAGACATCTGTGTGACAAGAACAAAGTTAAACTTCTAGTAGGTAGGCGAATATGTGAAAAGTAGTTAATTAATTAATTACACACTTTAAAGATTCCACACCTGGTGATGATTGGTATTATAATTTTATGAAGAGGCATCAATCTACTTCATTGAAACAGCGAGAAGAGTAGCAGAAAATTAGGAAAGGTTAGGTTAGGTATTAATTAGTGGTATATTTTTATCAATAGGTAATATGGTTCATAGGTACCTTATTAACATAGATAATAAAGATGTGGATAGGACATAATGGTACTCGAGAGTTCTTCGAGGGGAAAAATTGAGGCCAAATTAAAGTATACCTATATCAAGTATCGACTATCAATCACGGCTATAGATAAAGGAGCCTCAATTGCCTTCCCCTTCGGGAACACGGCCTCATCAAATATGTTTAACATAGGTGTGGCCTATCCATGTCTTTATTATATATTTATATAATATGCTTATTAAACAAATAACTTAATACAGTGACTATTTATTATTGGATGGGGTAACAACACAGAGCTACATTTATGAAATAAGCATTCAAAACAAATTAAGCCTTAAATATTTTTAGAAATCATATCACTAACAATAATTTATAAATTAGGTTTATGAATTATAAAAACTCACAAGTTTATATCCAAGTGGCTTCTTGTAGTGAGGCCATGTTTTATGTAAATCAGTAGCTGACATTTTTAAAGATTTTAGCCTATACACAGCAGTTTTTTTCCAAATTAATTCTATGTCAGGCCATGATAACTCTTCGTGGTTCAACTGACTTATATAACTTTCGGCATTTTCTTCAACTACTGTTATTTTAAAAAATAAACAAAAGGTAATTTAATTAACAACTTACAAACATATATTTCAATATTAGTTCATAGTATTCATCACCTAAATCATCATTGAATGCTGCAGATATCCGGGTTAGACAATTTTTCTCAAGTCTACATTTTTTTGATGGGCCCTGAGAAACTAGTCCATGGTTTTTCAAACTTCTAATTTTATTGAAAAATTTTGCGTACAGTTTCCCTTTGGGCGCTTTATTGTCTGTATCTCTTACAAAATATGTTTCCTAAAACAAAAATGTAGGTTGAATATTTTTTTTAGCAATTTTTTTAGTTTCTTACCTTCAATTCCGTTGTAAAAGTTTCAACAATTGTCTTAGCTATAGTATCTGCCAGACCAACAGACATAGAGATAGATTGTTCAATGAGACTTGATATTATTAAGTCAATCATTAAACTGCGACATGACTCATTTAAGCTCTTATTTGACTTGTAATAGTTCATTATCATTATACCATGAGAACTATTCTTAAGGACATCATGTAAAGAAAATTGTGGAGACATATGAGAAATCGATTGTACTGGTACCGGTGCGTTGGAAAATGATAAAGTAGATACAGTTGATGGATTCATTACATCGTCAGAGATTGATGGATTCATTACATCGTCAGAGACCTCCTCTGGTTTGTTTTGCAATTTCTTGATATGTTTCTTAAATTTAATTTTCACTCCCATTGGATACTTTGATAAAAGCTGTTCAACTTCGCTAGGACTTATGGATTGTAACGCCTCAATATCAATACAATCAGCTAAAGCAAAAATATGGTTGTATAAATAAATTAATAATAGTAAATATTTATAAATAATAATATAATTTACTGTGTACAATATTAAAATAAAAATTCTGAACCAGAATATTATAAAAATTCAAACTGTATTCATGTTTCAGCCTATAGAACATTATCGGGTAATATAAAATATTAAAAACATAATTAATATAAAAATTGAACATAAATATCATAAAATATAAAGAACAATAGGTAAGTAATATATTTATTATTTACCATTTAAATTGTTATAACTTATAATGCCCTGGCTTTAGTGAATTTTTATTTTTATAATTTATAGACAGTAATTAATATTATTAATTATACAAGTGTTAAACAATACTTTCATTTTAAATATTTATAGCTATGAAAATTAATTGAAAATTAAATTTATAATACTAACCTAAACAAGTTTCGTACAGAAATTCCATGTTCCAACCTAACAACATCTCTTTCAAACAATTTTGATCCTCAAAACTTAAATGATAAGGCATAGGTGACATATTATCATGACTTGACGGTGGTAGTTGAGAAAAGTTATTCATTATATTTGGACACTCAACTGAATTTTCATCATTAGAAATTGAAGAGCAGGAGGGTAGATGAAGATCAGTATAAATTCTTTCATCCTCTGCAAGATGTTCACTTAATAGACTTAGGTAATCTTCTTTTTGGTGTTGCATTTTACTTGATACATATAATACATTTATAAATACAAAATATAATTACCTACACACAAATATAATATACCGTAAGAGCGGGATACTTTGCTCCAAATATATTTCTTTTTTAGTTTGAACCTATACTATAGCTTCAATAACAAAGATAAAAATTACCTGTTCGTGTTGTTTTATATGTATAGATGTTAAGAGGTAAGAACAATTCAAAAAAATCCGAATGTCGTACTAGTGACTTACTTACTTATTCCCAAAAGTTTGGAGCAAAGTTAAAATACATTGCAGGTTACATTGCACAATGATTAAAATTACCTTACTTTAATGCATATAATAACTATTGGTGCAATGTTTAGTGCTTGTGTTTTAACTTATTTGAACCTATACTTAATATAATTTAATAATATATTTTTTTTTTTTTTTTTAGTTGATTAAAAGTCTTTTTTCAATACATTTTAAATTAAATTTCAATCCCCTAGATTTTGGATAACTTTTCCGTTATGTATTTTTGTGTTTTTGAAAACCATTTTTTACATGATATACATCTTGGAGGAAAACTAATAGATTCATGTCCGTAATGTTTGAAAAAATTAGTAATGTTAATAAGAATAATATAAAAAAAACTACAATCTCTGATCTCAAAATCGTAATGTGCTACGATTGATATCAATAAAAATTTTTTTTGGAGCAATGTTTAACCCCTGGAGTAAAGTATCCCGCTCTTACGGTACATATTACATAAATTAAATAATTTAATTTTAAAACCTGAAAGATATAAAATATGTTAAATACAACACATATTAGTACCTACACTTTAAATCTAAATATACTAATACTAAAATGAGATAAATAAAAACAAAATTAAGATATTAAATGTTTTCCATTTCTAGAAATATTCTTTCAATCTAATCATAAGATTACCACCATTAACTTTATTGATATTTAAAGGGGGAGAATTAAACTGATCAACATTCATAACGCTTTTGGAAACAACACTCTTGTTTATATCAACTTTGTATGCTCTAAAATGAGTGTCAAATAATTCTAATAGAATTTGCTGAACAACAAAATATACTGTATTATTTTTTAATAAAATTATCTCAAGTATTTCATACAAACAAATTTCACTATTAAAACAAGTGACATAATTGCCAATTTTGTAGATTGTACCTCGAAATTCAATCTTGGAATAACTGATATAGTTATTAGTTGATACATTTATAAAGTCAAAAATAATTGCCACATGCTTTGAATCAATTTTATGTTTTTCCAAGGCTTCTACTAGCAAACTATTTTTTTTTTGGTTTAATATGAAATATGCAAATTTAAATTGATGTTTATTTGCCAATGTTAAACAAATATTTCTTCGAGATGTTATTGCCCTAGCATACATTTTCAACTCCTTATGTTTCGCTTCATAACGAAAGCACCAAAAGTGTCTTGGAGGGCCAGATTTAAGAATAATTGTAGGATAATGTATCAATAAATGATGCTTAGGTTTTAAGTTATCTTGAAAATATTTAACATAATCTGAATTATGTTTTTCAATAAGAATTTTTAAATGCTTTACCATATCTCGTGTAAACGTATAGCTTAATAAACTATCTATAATTTCAATAAAAATTAAAAAAAATTGCCAAATCTCATCATCCACTGGAATTAAATCACCAATGATCAAAGAAAAAAAATGAACAAAGCACATCATTTGTCTTGCTGACATTTTTAAATGAAATTTGTGAAGATGATGTCTTTCAATAGGTGGTGATACATTTTTTTGCTCAAGTTCACCATAGTCAAAATTTTGTTTTCTTAAATTAAGGGTTTCTAAAGAAAAAATTTGTATTTTTTCTGTGTAATAAATTATTAAATGACACATATTGTAATGGCAAATACCTTCATAAATGTCATGCATAATGTCTACGCTAAAGTTATCCGTGACATGAAATGTAGTGATTTGGTTTAAAATGCTATCTTTATAAATACCAGTTTGTGTAAAATCATTTTTTTCTAGATCTTCTGTATAATTTATAACATTACGGAGTAAAGAACCATTTTCTTTTGATAAATTATGCATTATAGATTTTGGAGCTTTGCAAAATCGACAATAGAAATTAGCAGAAAATGATTTTGAAAATTCACATAAACAGTTAATTCCTAGGTTATCCCCTAATAATAAACCTAGAATAAAATATACATGTTTTGGACCGGTAGGAGTATTTATGGTTATACCATCATTACCCAAGCTGTTTATTTCATAAACTATCTGTTTGAAACATAAGTCATTCCCAAAGGTTTTTACATCTCTAGATTTTATAAGGGCTGTTAAGAAAATGTTATTTAGCTTTGAACTATGCTCACTGAGAGGAAAACTATAATACACCGCTGATAATGAATGACACATAGATTTGGAGCCTAATGGATTGTTAAGTTCTACATCATCAATGTACATAAAAAAAGGCATAACAATTTTATTTTTATATGGAATTATTTTTTCTTTCCATAACGAACCTTGAATAAAGTTAGTTATGGAGCAGGTGTTTGATTCAGGACAACTTATAAGTTTGTTGTATTTATTAATTGCAGTATTTAAGTTATTATTTTGCTCAAAATATGTTTTTATTTGAAACTTAAAAGGCATTATAATTCCCTTAGTAAGTATTTCATCATATACAGTTTGGCCATTATTAGAAATTAATTTTACTTCATTATTAATAGTGAACTGCTTATATTCGTTACTTATGAGTTCATTGTTTTTAAGCCAGTTATTTAACAAATATTCAGTTTTACAAAACTTAAAAAGATCTGATATACCTAATATAACTTTAGTAAATTTAGATAGAAGTAATGGATCTTGTATTTCCTCTTGAATAACACCCTTTAATAAATTTGTAATAGGATTTAGAATGTTATTTTCAATATCGCTTTGAATGTTTTGAACATCACTTTTACAAAAGTTATTATTGTTATGTAACGTCAAACAAAATTTTACTGCCCCCAAATGTAGTTCTTCAATACAATTGTTTGTGTCAAATATATCCTCGTTCGGTTTGGATCGTTTAGGTTTATCAAATAAAATATTACTAGCATCATTACTAATAGAATCATTACTGTCGTAACTATTAGTATCTGTTAAAATACCACTATGCGAATGTGCAGTTTCAGGTAAGTTATCTTCCACAGTGTTCACGTGTTTGTTAAGGATGTGTTTTTTTAAACTACTAAGACTTTGAAAAGATTTTGAACAATTATCCTCTATGCAAGTATATGAATTAAATGGCCCTAACACATGTATAATCTTATAATGGTAAACGAGCGATGGCAATGATGGTACATTTAAATGACAAATGAAGCCTTTCATTTTGTTAATATAATATTATGTAATAGGTACAATAAAATACTTACCGTTGGATTTGTCCACGATTTGAAGTGTTTATTAGAAAAAACAACGCACTATTCACACACGATATAAGTTCACAGTAAATGCGAAAAAACTATATTGCAAACAATGAATACCTAGGACAAGTAGTAACATCGGCAACTGTCCATCAACGTGTTAAACAAGGTACAATCGTATCGTGGTCAGCAATGTTACTTTGTCCGCATGCGCTCGGAAACTTATATTGTTAATTTGATAAAGTTATTGTTGAATTGATAAATCGATTGTTCATATTTGAAAAAATGGGATTTCCAGTAATTTATATCTATTTTTAAATTGGTACAAATCCAGATATAGATGATAATGCAGTTACCTTATATTAACAATATAATTTGTTGATTTAATAAATAAACTTTTTTAGTTTAACAACACTAAGTATTAAATCTAAAATACTATTGTTAAAATAATAATTTTTATTTTATTATATGCTCAGTATAATAACAAAAAGTTTTTTGTTAATTCGACAATGCGTGATCAATTTGATAAAAGCTTAGTTGTTAATCTGATTAAAATATAAATAATCCAAAAAAAAATGTTGTTATTACTACAAATATATAATTGACTTAACAAATTTATGTTGGTTAAAACTTAACAAAAGTATTTTGTTAGTTTCACCTTAGTTTTTTCTTTCTGTGATAGGGACAACAATATTGTTTGTGTAAATACTGAGTAAATATTGAGTATTTACACAATGATCTAGGTATATAAGTACAGTAATTTTGTCATATTTTCCCCGATGACTAGATAACAAACCTTGGCAAAGTTGCTACGACGACGGTTACCGTGATTCTGAATTCAATATAAATTGCCATTAAAAAGTTCACAACTATTTTCATTTATAACTTGATTTCTAAAAGTACGGTTTTTATGATTCTCGCAAGAGCACATTCTACACAATATTTCTGATGTTTTGGAGTTCACCAGGAGTTAATTGATGCATTAGAAAATTAGCTATGTCGTATAAAAAAATTTACCTGTGTTTTACACAGTTTAAATAGGCAACTGCTTAGAAATAATATGCACACACGGTCGTACAGTTATTTATTTTTATTTTTTTTTTACTTAACTCACGCCACGACCGTGAACCAAAATATCTACTGGCCACCTAGTTTCATTTGTATAAATATTAAATGTTATATAATAATACCTACATATAAGTGCAACCATTTACGTGCAATTAGGAATTTAATACGTATTATTGTTATTATTTTCTAGTAAATATTATTTGCTTTGAATTATTTTTAAATGGTTAGTACGTGTCGTATATAAATGTATGAATAATTATTTAAAACAATATACAGACCCACGAAAATTTGTTTTAATTCATCACAAATATTATATTATCAATTTGTAAAAAATTTTGTAAAAATCACTGAATTGAGGTGACGCCTCAATATTGATTGTATTTGAAATAACAATATTGATTCGTTCATTTTAAAGAACCGTCCTTTGTAACGGGCTCCCGAATATTTTTTATTTGACGATATGTTTGAATTCTAGTCTAAACGATATTTAAGTTCTATGTTTTAAATAGAAAATTGAAAACCACATTGTATTTTAAACATTGGTAACCATACGAAATGTATAGTATATATATTTAAGCAAAACATGAAAAATTAGCAATTTATTTAGTATTAAGAAACAACTATGTACTTGATAAAATTAACACATTGACCATAAAAGGTAATATTATGTTATCAAGAATTATCTTATTTTATTACGGTCATCCGATCATAGATCTTTGATAATAATTACGATTAGTGTGCCATGTGAGTGCCTTGTGGCTCGTCAAATTTCCAATTTCAGAGAACGACTTTTCAAGTACATCGCACGGGTACAGTTTCTTCTCCATTTTTTTGTTTGGTGTGTCGTCAGTGTATGTAAATTAGAAAATGGTTTAACATTTAGATATTATCCAATCTCTCTCCCCTCCAAAAAAAAATGATAAGTGGGCCACTGTATATAGCTGGTACCTCTCGGCGGAATGGTTAATAATAACAATATAGCATGTAAGTATAATACAACACACATTTGCATTCACACGACATCGAAATTTCTGCGTTTGTAATTAACTCTGTTTTATTTTTTAGCAGTTTATAAATGTGTTAAAAATATCAAACATATTTTGTAATGATTTGTATTAATAATTCAGCGATAAGTTTTATTTTAAATGTTTTTAATGATTACCGACTAAATTTATCATAAGACATGCTGAGAATTTGATTTTGTAACAATTTATTAGTTATTAAAAAAAAAAAAAAAATAGATTTTGTTATTATATTTTTAATAATAAAAGGAAAACAAATTTTTGATAAAAGCTACAAGACATATTATTATGTACATACTTATCTATGTGTAATATATAAATAATACAAGTCTTGTTAATAATAAAAAGGTAAAAAGGGACTTCCAATATGAGTATAAGTACTTGGGTGTGGCACATATAATGCAATTAAATCGGCCACATATAAACGATTAATATTATAATATAATTCTCATATAAGTAGATCACATAAAATATAATAAGACGTTGTGCAACAACAACAATTAAATACACAGCATATTACAATAATTGAACCCCATCATCTAAAACATGATGACACAACAATTAATATGTACACCAAAATCAATCATATAATATAAAAATAATTGAATAATCACATCCCGAATTATACAGGTAATGATGTAACAACAATTAGAATATACATCAAAATCTCCCCAAATTATATAAAACACACACACACATACATATAGGATAGAATAGTTCATAAGACGCATCCATACACACCGTAATAAAACAATACGAATACACTACAAAGAATAGTTACACCCTATACACGGATAGTGATGCTGCGACATGCGACGGCAATTATGATACGCTCATATAAGTAACGCCCACACCAAAGACACGCAGCAGACAGATCAGAGACGGCGTTCAAGGAGCGGAGCGAAGAGAAGAGGATTGACCAATGTCGTAGTGTCATCATATAGCCACATAGCCGCAATACCATTTTTCTCTACGCCACACATACACGCATAAATCATTTTTTCATCTATCCACCAAGTTTTAACTTAACTTACCTATATTTTACACTCGCGTCTCACAAATATCCAAACACCTAAGTGCTAACTCATATTGTTACGTTCATCTTCTTACATTTATAACTGAATCAAATACGTGTTAACTTTATTAAATTCCTTTCCATATTATTCTTATTTCCAACATAAAAAAAATCCATACTTCAATTCAACCTAAAATCATCAATAAAAGAGGTAATAAATAACGTGTATCTAATCCACAACTCGAGAGTCACAGAAGACAAGCACATTCATATCCAAGCAAGGTAAGTGCGCACATATTATGATTAAAGCATGCACTTAAATAATACACACATATACTGGGTGATTCTTTTATCAAACAACACTCATTATTTCAAAAAGTGTAAATTTTTTTGAAGATATTTTTTTACATAGTTTCAAGTTGCTTATAAAACAACGTTTTTATTAAAAAATTATATTTTTAATTATTTTTTATCCTTATAATTTTTTAAGTTTTTTACTTTTTTGAATGACAACATAGGGTTTTAATTTTATATTCCAAAGTAGAATATTTTTCTTAGTATTTTGATACATGAAAATTGAATTTGGGGCGAGTAGTTTATGAGTTATAAGTAATTAAAGTTTAGACGAGCGGTGAAGTGGACAAACATTTCGCGGGGTAACCCCGAACCACTCCACTCCGCTCGTCTAAACTTTAAATACTTATAACTCATAAACTACTCAACCCAAATTCAATTTTCATGTATCAAAATACTAAGAAAAATATTCTACTTTGGAATATAAAATTAAAACCCGATGTTGTCATTCAAAAAAGTAAAAAACTTAAAAAATTATAAGGATAAAAAATAATTAAAAATATAATTTTTTAATAAAAACGTTGTTTTATAAGCGACTTGAAACTATGTAAAAAAATATTTTCAAAAAAATTTACACTTTTTGAAATAATGAGTGTTGTTTGATAAAAGAATCACCCAGTATACATAATAACATTTAGTAAAGGGAAATTCTATAAGATAAATTAGAGGCTGCACATATTAAAAATAATCACACCCCACCAAATAAATAAAAACGTAAGATTCATTCTCGTGCCATCGGGCATTACATCTCTCTCTCTAATAATACTTTTGTAATAAAAGTAAATACATTTAAATTTAGTCTCAATATTATCATTAAATTATAATTATCTAATATCTCTTAATGACGGCTATAAATAAATATTTAAACCAAAAATTGATATATAATAAAAAAACAAAATTTCGTAAAATTGTTTAAATAAAAAGGGCTTTTAGAAATTAAAAACACAAGAAGGGCGTAAGCCACAAACAATTTCTGAAATCAAAAAGGCACTTGGATATTAAAAACTCAAGAAGGGCGCAACCCACATACACCTTTTTTTAAGTGACAATTACTATGATACTCCATATTTTTATTAAGGTTATTAAGATAAAAACTATTTTATTAATATTTCTATTTTCCAAAGTTAAAATTTTTATTATATTATAATCAAAACTGTATTTTCTGCACTGTTTTTACTCTCCCATAAAAAGTTTTGAAATAATTTCATTATTATTGTGGATTACGCCCTTTCTACAAAACACCGTCGATATTAATAATTAAAATCAATTTTTTTTTTTAACATAATGATAGTTTTAGATTCTAAGTGGAACGACGATGAATGTATTGATTTTACAATGATGTGTGTGTGTGTTTTTTTTTTTAATTATTATTTTTTTTTGTGTGTGTCTGTCATCACCTTTTAGGACAGTAAAAGTGCTTGGATTTTCTTCAATAGTATCTTTTCTGATAGGAAAGTGATGCTAATTGGTACTTTGGGGGGTCAACAGTAAAATTTTTCCAGTAGT